TGCAAGCCCATCTCCGAGACTGGTGCCGAACAGGTAAATCCCCATCATCAAAGAGCAGCCCCGTCCGAAAAGGCCCAACTAACTCAAAAACCCCCAGATGTTACTCGACACATACACCCTCAAAACCGGCCTCTCATCCCTCCTCCCAACCCCCGCCCCAACCGGCTACGTCAAACGCGTAAACACCACCTTCGCCAAGATCGAGACGCTCCTCAAAACCCTCCAAGTGCAGCCCTCACCTCCCGAGGCCCTCGTGCAAGCCTACCTAATCCACATCGCCGACCGCAGCAACGCCAACTTCCGCAAGATCCTCGACATCAAGGGCATCCGCAGCCGCCAGGAGCAAAACCACCTCGTCGAGCTCTTCCAGATCCACAAGGCCTCCGACCGCCACGCCCCCAACCTCACCTCCAACAACCCCATCCTCTCCATCCTGCAGACCTCCTCGGCCGGCTCATCCTCCGCTACCTCCTCCACCTCCCAGGGCGGCCTAAGCCTCAGCACAGCAGCCGCCGCTTCCATCGGCGCGTCCAACCTCCCCACCCGCTTCGACCCCTCCACCCTCGGCTCGGCCATCATCTCCGCTGCAAAGGACGGCGTCGACCGCTTTGGAACGCCCCTGGGCGACGCCCGCGGGAACCCCATCTCCTCTGCCTCCGCTGCCTCCGGTCCGCCTTCGTCGTCGTCGACCCCTGCTCCGGCCGGCCAGGCGCAGGGCTCCTCCGCTGACGGTGGGGGATCTTCCGGACCCTTGAACGACAACCTGAAGAATATTGGGAAATTTTTCCGGAGGGATCTAGGTGGCTTTGGCGGGAGGTTCGGACGAGGTGGGGATGAGTGATGTGGTTGTTTATTCCTGTTGATAATTCCTTTCATCTTTGGTTTTATATCCTGGTATATAGAATAGATATACAAACATTTGTTGGCCTTTTTTGGGGGGGAACGATGCATGTTTTTTTATTGGGCTGCTGTACAGATACTTATCTTCATTTTACTCTTTTTGTCTATCTATCTATTCTCTTTACTTTCGCCTGCACTTCCAATCCCGTTTGGTTTCTGTTTCTTTTGTTTCTGCGATGATGGGATATGATTTGGTTTGTTGGATAGCGGGGACCTATCGTAGGATGAGTCCGTGCCATACGGTCTATTCTCGTCTCATCTTGCCTCGTTCATGTAGCTTGGGAGAGAAAAGATACAAGAGGGATGTTTGACATGATACCAGAATTGAGTTCTTGATTTAGTGTTATTTTTTGCAAAACTTGATATATATTGACTATTTCTAGTCTAACATATCTAGGTAAGACTAAGGCATATCTACGACAGTAGAGTGATGACTACGACTGACACGACTACTAAAGTCGGTAGTTCTGGGATGGGCGGTTCCTAAAAATCTGAGTGGTAGTTAGCAAACTGATACCACGACCAAGTAAAACGAGAAACAAGTAGAAGTTCAAGGGCATGGCGTCAGCAAAAAATTAGAGTGTTGTTGTTGCATAGTTTTTAATCTTCAGCGCCACCAGGTGGCTACGAGTTAAAAATGGTTTCATCATCCGCCGGTGATGTGGGTCCCAAGAACAAGGGGGTGGTATGAGGGAAAGCAAGACAGTAAGAGAATGAAAGGCATGGATAGTCTTACCTTTGGGATTCGTAAGATAATGGAACGTGTTTCTACGTCCAATATCTTACGATTGCCTTGTATTGTCACCATGGAATCATTTTCATTATCCCAACCAGCATGGTCGGTCATAAAATAATCTAGTACATGGCGATCGCATCCCGTGTAGCAAGGACACGAGACGCTTAGTCGAAGAGACCGAAGCCCATGTCATCATCGGACTCCTCAGCCTCCTCCTCCTGCTTGGCAGCAGGGGCCTCACCACCACCGGTAGCGGCAGCGGCGGCGGGGGCAGCAGAGGCGTAGGCATCGGGGTTGGCGATGCGGTCCTTGAGGGCCTCGATCTCGGGCCAGCTGATCTCGGTCTCGACGGCGACGGCGAGCACCTTCTTGTAGCCGTTGACGAGCGAGTGCACGACAGCGGGGAGGGTGGGGAAGCCGGTGGCCAGAGAGATGGTAGCGATCTTCTGGATAGCGGCGGTCAGGGCGTCGAGGAGCTGAGACTCCTCGATGTCCAGAACGTCGGCGCTGAAGCACTGGCCATCGTCATACACCTGCTGGACGGTCATACCGTAGGTGAAGGGCGAGATGTTCAGCATGTTCAGCAGGGTGGCCTCGGAGGGGCCGACCTTGGTGTTGGCCTCAACGAGTCTCAGGTCGGTGGTGATTTCGATGGTACCACGAGCAATCTTGGTGGGGACACCGAGAGCCTGGAAGAAAGAGGTCTTACCCGGCTCCATACCGGTGTTACCGGCAGGAATCCAGACATCGCCGGGGGCGATGGCACCGGCACGAGCGGGAGCAGCGACACGGTTGGCCAGGACCTTCTCCTTGATGCCCTTCAGGTCACCGTTGGTGAAGATGAAACCAACGTTGCCTATTCTCTATCAGCCATACTGTGATCACTCAATTGGTCTCGATCTCTAAACTCACCCTTAACGAAGGGCAGCAGGCGCTCGTACTCGGGGTTGTCGGTGACGAAACCCTTGATGGCACGACGGACCTAGGGAACAGTCAATTGCGGGCCACAGGACGATCCGGGACTCAAGAACAACATACCATGGTGTTCTTGCCCATGAGGACGACAGCCTCGCCACGGAGACTCAGACGAATCTCGTGCATCTGCTGAGAGCTGACATTGTCGACACCGACAATGAACACGGTCTTGTACTCATCGAGAAGGCTCTTCAGCTTATCGAAGTAAGCGGCCTTGGTTCCGGTCTTGCCCCCCATTTCTTCTTAAGTTAATGAAGAGAGGTTGTTTAAGGGCAAGAAAAATTTGTGTGGTGTGAAGTGGTGATCTGAAGATCGTGAAGTTGAAGAGAACAGAATCGCGGGCCGCACATGTGGGATTTTGTTCTTGTGGCTTCTCGCCTAACCGACCGGTCACGTGGCGGTCTGCCCGTCACCGCCTTCGCTCCAGCCGCCGGGCGGTGAGGACGATCGGGAATAGTGCCCCGCATGCGATTTTCCTCGTTTTGCGGATTTTATTCTTTATCGCGGTATCTGTCGGCCATTGACTCTCGCTTCAGTATGGACGTTGACCCCCAGCTCCAGCTACCGTTCCATTGTGTTCGATTCGTCGAACAGCGACAGGGTGGTGCCTCCCAGGACCTCCTGATTGCATCGGCTGGGCGCAAGCTTTATTCCTATGCGGCTGATTCTGGACGCCGGCTGGCGGTTTGGCCGCAGGATGCGAACAACGCCGAGACCGTGAAGGAAAATGAAGCGGAACAGGAATCAAAAGATCAAGAGCCCCCAGGCAAAAAGCGGAAAACCGACACTTCCAACTCCGCTGGCGGCAAGAAGCCTAACTCCCTCCCCGATTGGACCCATATCCCGATCCTGACGATCTCCCCCACGGGAAAGTATGTGGTCGCGCTGACCGCGGAAGACAAATGCATCCGGGTTTTCCAGATCGCAGAGGATGGTTCTCTCGAGCAACTGAGCGACAGGTGAGTCATCTATCATCCGAGCTTTCTGGGAAAAGCGACATAAACTCACCCAGCGCAGGGGTATGCCGAAACGACCATGTGCCCTTGCTGTGACTGGCGATGAGAGCACGATCTTGTGCGCAGATAAATTCGGAGATGTGTACTCCCTACCTCTCATCCCGAGCGAGAAACCCTACGTTGCCCCGAAGGAGCCCCGCCAGGCGAAGACCGTCCAGCCCGCAGCCTCGAATCTTACGGTGCACTCGAAGCGCAACCTGGCTTCGCTGGAGCAACAGATGATGCTGTATAAACAGGGGAAGTGGGGGAATTCGGAAGAGAAGTCTTCCTTGGGCTTCGAGCACCAGTTGCTTCTTGGTCATGTGTCGCTGCTTACGGACCTGGCCTACGTCTCTTTTCCGGACAGCAAACGGTCTTATATCTTGACTGCAGACCGCGACGAGCATGTGCGCGTTTCTCGCGGACCGCCTCAGGCACATATCATCGAGAACTATTGCTTGGGTCATACGTCGTTTATTACGAAACTGTGCATTCCCGCGTGGGCACCACAGTACCTCGTTACCGGTGGCGGTGACAATTACCTGCTTGTGTGGAACTGGAGCGAAGGCCGTGTGCTCCAGAAGGTCCCTCTGGTGGCAGATAACTCGGAGATCGTCGTTCGCAATATCTGGGCGACTGCGCTCCAGACATCCCCTTTGGAGACATCGAAGGTGATCCTCGTCGGAATTGATGGGTGAGTGCTTCGCAAGATCGCCGATCTGTTTCATGATGACTAACTTCCACGAAAGGTCCCCAAGCCTGCTGTGCTTCTCGCAAGAAGCCGATGGCACTCTGAAAGAACAGGGTTCGATCTCGGTGTCAGGAAATGTCATCGATGTGACTCCCATCGAAAAGTCCGGTACGATTGTCGTTGCAGTCGACGATGTACACAATGCAGGATCGATCCAGGAATGGAGGACTGCGCCTACGAGCCAGCCGGTTTTGCTGGAGTCTTTCCGTGTCAAGCCGGACACTCAAGGATTAGTATGGGAGCCGGTCACGGAACCGCTGGTGGCCACTATCAACTCCGAAGGCACGTCGCAGGCGCCAACCGATGCTGAGTCGAAGCAAAGGAGTAATTTCAGCGAAGCCTTGTATGGCTTGAAGAATCTCCGGAAGATGAGAATGGGCGAGGACGACTAGGATGGGAGCATATAATTGACACTACTACTATAGACATGAAAGCAATTGTATATACAAAAAGAATTTCTGTTCATTATTATAACTACTATCACTTTTCAATGCTACCAGTAAATTGTACCCATGAGTTTGTACGTACCGAAAATATAGACATTGACTTGTGCATGCATAAGGCAGGCCGAGATGCGTGCCGAGGCGCCGAGTAACAGCCAACCGCAAAGTTACGTAACTATAGCGGTACCACCCCTCCTTCGCTCGTATGTTCGCAAAGTCCGCCCACCCTGCAACTCATCATCATCCCACACTCAAAATGCAGGAACAATTCGAGCCATTGAAGAACGACCGCTTGTTGAGAGCCGCGAGGGGTATTTACGACTCCGATATTCCCGGTCGTGATGATTCCAGCTGACCAGGAACTCCAGGCGAGAAGGTGGACCGTCCTCCGATATGGGTTATGCGGCAAGGTATGATACTACCCGTCGTGCTCCGGCGCCGTCACATTCTCCTGCGGCGTTCTAGGCGCTGCTTGTAGATGCTGACAACTATTTTGAAATTCACAGCCGGCCGCTACCTCCCCGAGTACCACGAAGCGAAAGCGGGCCGGGATTTTTTCCAATGCTGTCGCTCGCCTGAGGTGGCGTCGACGCTGACCCTGCAGCCCATCGACCGCTACGAGGGTCTCATCGACGCGGCCATCATCTTCTCCGACATCCTGGTCATCCCGCAAGCGATGGGAATGCAGGTCGAGATGGTCGACAAGAAGGGCCCGCACTTCCCGGAGCCGCTGCAGTCGCCCGACGACGGACAGTACGAGAAGGTGATGCAGAAGCAGGTCGACGTCAAGTCGGAGCTGGACTACGTTTACAAGGCCATCACGTTGACCCGGCACAAGCTCAAGGGTCGCGTGCCGCTGATTGGCTTCTGCGGGGCCCCGTGGACCCTGCTGTGCTACATGGTTGAGGGCGGCGGCAGCAAGATGTTCGTGCAGTCCAAGACTTGGGTGTACAAGTACGGCAAGGAGTCGCAGGCGCTGCTGCAGAAGATCGCCGAGATCTGCGTCGAGTACCTGGCGCTCCAGGTTGCGGCGGGCGCGCAGCTGGTGCAGGTGTTCGACTCGTGGGCTGGCGAGCTGTCGCCTTCTTGCTTTAAGAAGTTCTCGCTCCCGTATCTGCGCCATATCTCTGCCAATCTGCCCAAGCGGTTGAAGGAGATGGGGCTGGAGCCGGTGCCGATGACGGTCTTTGCTAAGGGCGCGTGGTACGGCCTGGAGGATCTTTGCGAGTCGGGCTACAACGTTGTCGGTCTGGACTGGCTGCATGATCCGGCCGAGGCTCGGCGGATCGCGAATGGTCGCGTCACCATCCAGGGTAATATGGATCCCGGCGCGCTCTATGGTGGGCGAGAGGCGATCACGGAGAACGTCGAGATTATGGTGAAGGGGTTCGAGAAGGGCAAGCAGGGATGGATTGCCAACCTTGGCCATGGTAATTCACTCAACGATTCCCTTCTTGTATTTGTATGATGCTAATTAGAGTAGGCGTGACCCCCTTCGTCAAGCCGGATGACCTCAAGTTCTTCTTCGAGGAGATCCACCGACTGACGGCTTCGTGAGACGGTTGCACGAGTGGTTTATATTTACTCTTCGATTGATTTCAATCCGAGGGTATACTCTGACTATGTACATGTCGGGCAATCCCACCCCCTACGTCTAGCCAAACGGCAACCACCAACTTTGTTCATGAGATATATGCTTGAATCTAGACCCCGATATCCTCATTCCTAATTCAAACAGTGGTCAGCAACAACGTCCCAAAAAATCTGTATGTAAAGCCAGGTGCAACCACAGAGGCTACAAAAATAGAGCCCCATATAATCCAACCCCACACAAGGAATTAAAAATCAAGGAAGCAAGAGAACACTCACCAAAGCTCCGGCTTCTCCTCAATAAACTTAGCCATAAGCCCCTTACACTCCGCATTCTCCAACACCACCACCTCCGCCCCCCGGTTCAACAGATACTCCTCACCACCCACAAAGTTCATATTCTCCCCAATGACAACGCGCTTGATCTTATAGAGGATACAGGCACCGGTGCACATGTCGCAGGGCGACAGCGTCGTGTACATGGTTGCGCCCTCGTAGGCCGACGCAGGCAGACGACCTGAGTTTTCGAGTGCGGAGATCTCCGCCTGTTATATGAATCACAACACATTGTCAGCTATTATCCCTCCTTTCGCACATGGATATGTGGAAGTCATGTAGGGGGAGGAGATAAGCATTAGGAATGAGGAAATAAACAGAACAACCGGTAGCAAAAAAGGAAGAAGAAAAAAAATCAACCCACGTGCAACGTCGCGCTACCCTTCTGCGCGCGCAGATTATGGCCCCGGCCCAGGATCTTCCCTTCTTTGGAGACGAGACAAGCTCCGATGGGGACTCCGCCCTCGGCGTAGCCCTGCTTGGCTTCTTCCACGGCGGCGATGAACCCGGGGTCTTGTTCCATTATGGTGGGTGTGTGGGTGGTTTGGTTTGTTTGGGGTATAAAAATAGAGGCTCAAGTCAACTGAGTTATTGGAGGTAGGAGAGAGGAAAAGTGCGGAGTGGGGGTGTTCATTTTTAATATATATATATACCAATCTATAACTAGTATGTAGTTGTCTCGACGGGGAATGTCTTATCCGGCAGATAGATGCCCGCAGTAGCTATCATAGTGATTAGTTAAATTTTTAGATTACAGATAATTAATACTAATTGTCTGATGGTAGATTGGAAGGCTATCAAATAGATCATGGTGGTAATGAGGGGACATTTCCTGGGCGAGGGTGAAGGATTGCCGGTTTCGGGGGCTAGGTGGGGAAGGCTGTCATGCTTGATAAGGACTGGTTGGGGTATCTGGGCTAGATATAGCGGTTCTTATCGGGGATTATGTACAATAGATGCTGGGGAGACTAGAATGGCGAGGAAGAGAGTCTAGGTGTTTTTGGTTTGTGTGTGTCTAGAAACTCTGGTTTGTCCGGTATGTTGTAATAGCTGACCGCTAAAACTTTATTCTAGAGTAATCTTGAAGGAAAGTGATCAAATTATAAGATTAACTGTTTATATAGATCAAAAATAGCTTGTGTGTTATGCGGGGTCTTAGGACACTGTCCCAAAGAGTTTATATAACTAGGTGACATGCTAGGAATCATGTACAGGTTTGTGTGGGGAAATACATTGGTATATGTATATAAACTGATCATTGACCTGCGGAGATTGTAGGCTGTAATAGCTGTATATAACCAAGAATCCTAGCATGGCTGAATAAGTGCACATATTATCTAAGAGTATTATAGCGTCAGATATAATCTGATTTATGATTTCTTAAATCTTAACTATCTCCCTTATAACTCTAATTCTCAGAAACTTGTGTGGGAACTACTACTTTTTCTTGTATAAGGTAAAGCATTTGGTCAAGGGTGTAGCAGTTTTAAACCATGGTAAACATCTTTATTAACCCCGTAAGGCCAGCGGAGATATTGGGTATAATAGATTAGCAGTGAAGTAAAGTGTTATCAACTTTTGATCATGCATGATAGTCATACTTTCTTGATTATGATGGCTCTCTGTTGACAGGTCTTGATCAACCAGTATTCCTGGGAGTTTTTGATATACTTACTCCTGCGGAGCAGGCTGAAGCCCAGTATTTATATCTAAAACCGTCACTCAGCATTGTATCGAAGATTCACTTACAGCAATAACAAACCTTGATTCAAAGTCATGGAGTCTCGGCAGACTACCAGTTTTGATATGCTACTTCTTGCTCAAGATCTCCTGATAGACGGGGAGGCTTTATATCGATCTAGATGTTTTGGTATTGAAAAAGAATGGACAGCTCTCCCGGTGTGTAAGCCTCTGGCAATCCGCAGTTTCCTTTTACAGTTCTCTGCAGGAGACATTGCTTTGGTGGATGCTGATCTTCTTGGTGCAATCAGAGCTATGAAATTCATGTAAAGCCTAGGACAAGCGCTAGACCAGATATGACCTGACAAAGGTGGGTTGGAAACAAGGAATCTCATTAGATCAGTCATCAAATGGCCATGCTTCGTCCCACGCAACTATATCTGTTCCAGAATGTGCCAGCTGGTCGATCAGCGCCGTCTTTGCTTGCTTGAGAAGCCTTTTTAACTTCATCATATTGTTCTGGCCGTACAACACCCAATGCTAAAAATTCGAAGCAAAAACCACAACAGGTTTCTAATACTACCTCATGACCTAAGGCGCTCAAGTTCATGGTGATCACTGCCTTACCAAGGATTCTAAGGAGTATGACTCAAGGTCGTAAACTTACTACAGAACAGGAGGTTTCCGAAGCTGGATGCTGATCCCCTGACCGACAACATCATCGACAAGTATTGGCACAACCGGTATGCCTTTTCAGAGAGATGCTTTTGTCAGAAGTTCGGGAAACGCGGGCTTATGACGCGAACGATAATCAAGAACAAGAAGAGAAAAGTGCGCTAGATCAGCAGACCAAGACGCATGGGTTATAACTTATCGCGGAGGCAAATGGGGCTGTTGCGGAGCCACAATTGCGTCTTGGTCGTCTCCGAGATCGTCTCTTCGGCGCTGTAGGTAGAATCGAGACTCGTGCCCTCTATTAAAGGGGAGTATATATTCCTTTGAGGCAGAGAGGGGGATTATCGACGTCATTGGAAGGGGAGTTAGAATCAAGCTGGACTTGCCCTGCCTAGAGAATGGTTCCCCTCACTCTGCTGCTTATCGCTTATCTTTATCCTTATCGATAAGAGCGCGCCATGGCTGCTGCAACTGTGGTACTGGTGCCTGAGGCAAAATAGACTTACTGTGCCACTAGAAAAATTCCAGAAGCAGAAACAAAGCCAAATCATTAAGGTTAGATCTATCAAGGGATGTTTTAGACCTGTCTCTCGATCTTCAACGAAACAATGATGTTTGGAAGGCCCGAGATGCAAGTGATGAGCCCTCGAACTGTGTGGTATCGAGGTATTCTGGTTTCATGGAATAATACCAGGGCAGAAAAAATAATACCGTGGTACGGTAGGTACTGGGTAGAAGGCAGGAGGCGTGGTCCCAAAACGGTGTAATTACGGACATGGAAACCGTGAGAAGACGGTGGAAGGGGGGAGAACTGGATGGAAAAGGCTGAGTCGACGCTCGGGCCACCGATTTGGCCTGTGACAATCGAAACAACGAGAAGGTCAGGCTTGCTGCATTAGAAGCTTGCTGATTCCTTTTTATCCAGCGATGAACCTGATCTAGATTCTTTGTAGAGTTTCTGGTCTTCTATCTCTCCTGCTTATATATTTGCCGCTTCGATCCCTTCCAAGGGGTGCTCACTGGAAACCTTGGTCGGAGTTTTGCCTCCTGGATATCTCTCCGGTCTTGACTACGTGGATCTAGAAAGCTTTGGATGCGGGTGCCACAGTGGTAACCAGAATACCGTATTGCATACAGAATCCCCTCGATACGCTCGAATTAATTACCAATTTTTGCCTAAGGTTTGCCTCAGCCCGCCGCCTTGTCGCCGCTCCCTCTTCCGATAATAATAATAATCTTCGTCCAAGGCGTTCACTTCCTTCTTCCTTTCTCATCAACTGTCCCCGCCTTGACCCTCCACATCCTGAGGATCCCCCCCTCTCTCCCCTCTCAATCTCTTTCGTTCATTCGATTCAAACCCCTGTTGGTTTTAAGAATCTTATCAACCGTCTCCTTTCCGGTTGAGAATTCACCTCGGGTTGAGTGCTTTTGAAAAGTTTCTTCCGGTTTCAAGAAAAAGGAAACCCAATCGATTCTTTCACCTTTTTACCTATCGCTTGCTCTCTTTGTTCATTTAATATCTCGTCACAATGGTCAAGGATCAAAAGTTTTACGACGCCCTCGGGGTAAGTTCCGACGTGGGAGCGCGGTGTGTTCTTCGAATCCGAAATTGACGGTGAGGCAACCAGGTTTCCCCCGATGCCACTGAGGCCCAGCTCAAGACCGCCTACAAGAAGGGTGCTCTCAAGTATCATCCCGGTACGTTTTTCACTCCTACATCATGAAGCATTTTCACCTGAATATAAGATATCTGTTATCACGGGCGAGTTTGCGGTCGGACTTTATACTAACGAATTTCCTTGCTTCCAGACAAGAACAAGAACAACGACGATGCGGCCGAGAAATTCAAGGAGATGTCCCACGCCTATGAGATCCTTTCGGATCCCGAGAAGCGTTCTATTTACGACCAATACGGTGAAGAGGGCCTCGAAGGTGGTGGCATGGGTGGTGGTATGGGTGCGGAGGACCTGTTCGCCCAGTTCTTCGGCGGCGGCGGTGGCGCCTTCGGAGGCATGTTCGGCGGCGGCGGTGCGCGCGAACAGGGCCCCAAGAAGGCGCGGACGATCCACCACGTTCACAAGGTCAACCTGGAGGATATCTACCGTGGCAAGGTCTCGAAGCTGGCTCTGCAGAAGTCGGTCATCTGCCCCGGCTGTGATGGCCGTGGTGGCAAGGAAGGCGCCGTCAAGTCGTGTACCGGTTGCAGTGGCTCCGGTATGAAGACCATGATGCGCCAGATGGGCCCCATGATCCAGCGCTTCCAGACCGTGTGCCCCGACTGCAACGGTGAGGGTGAGATTGTCCGCGACAAGGACCGCTGCAAGCGCTGCAACGGCAAGAAGACCGTTGTGGAGCGCAAGGTCCTCCACGTCCACGTCGATAAGGGTGTCAGGAACGGCCACAAGATCGACTTCCGCGGCGAGGGTGACCAGATGCCTGGTGGTTTGCCTGGAGATGTGGTGTTTGAGATTGAGCAGAAGCCTCACCCTCGATTCCAGCGCAAGGGCGATGACCTGTTCTACCATGTCGACGTCGATCTTCTCACGGCCCTTGGCGGCGGTAGCTTCAGCGTCGAGCACCTGGATGACCGGTGGATCACCGTGAACATCGCCCCTGGCGAGGTCATCACTCCTGGTACGTTATCCTCTAACCATGACAAATCGTCGGAAAATGCTAATAGATTATATTAGGCGCCATCAAGGTGATCAAGGGACAGGGTATGCCTTCGTTCCGCCACCACGACTATGGCAACCTCTATGTCCAGTTCGACGTCAAGTTCCCCCAGAAGGATCAGCTTCAGAACCTCAACCTGCTGGAACAGGTCCTGCCTCCTCGTTTGGAGCAGACTAAGGCCCCCGCCGATGCCATGGTGGAGGACTTTGAGCTGGAAGACGTTGATGGCAGCGAGGGCTCGCAACAACGGGCCCAGAACGCCGCTCACGCGATGGATGAGGATGACGAGGATGTTCCTCCGGGCGCCGAGAGAGTGCAGTGCGCTTCGCAGTAAACGGGGAGATCTAGGTTTGGGGGAGCTGGAGCATGATAAAATTCGCTTATGATACCATGTGGTGGTTTCGGCCGGTAACCCTTTACCGGGGATTGCTTTTCTTTGACATGATGACTTTTATTTTTGCTTTTCAAGTGCTTTGCGATGGCGTTTACCCGAAGACCTGGAAGGTGACAATGGAGATTTCTTCGTTATTGCACTTGCTCATTGCCATGAGGGACCTTCGCTGATGACGCGATGGATGAGACCATGTGGAACGAATTAATCGATTTTGCTACATACTTTCCGTCACGACCTAGGCCGAGTCGGGTGGGTTAGGTTATGGTGGCACGTCGGGATTGAGTGTGTTTTTACCTCTATAGACTACAACATTTGGGTATTCAATCCTTCACTTTTTTTCTTGGGTGCATATCGTATTTTGATGTAGACTGGAGAGTTCACTGCACGTGCCAGAAGGTTCATATTTGGGTTTACACCCCTCACAGGGCTTACGGACCTCACTCTCAAGGGACAACGACCTAGGATGTGGAGAATCATTAGAATGGCGACAATGGAAAGCAGCGATACTCTCCTTGGGGCTTCACGTCTCACGTTGGTCGTCAAATCGGGCAGAGGTCAGTCTGCCCGAACCATCCATATCCCGGAAGTACTGCTACAAAACACCCACCTACCTAGATAGGTATCCACCAGTAATGCCCTCGCTAACTTAAACCACTGCAGTAGCAGTAGGCACGGGCAACACCTTACTTGCGCTCCTATGGGGTAGAGTCTTGCTTGTGAGTGGCTGAACGAGGGTATTAGAGTCGTCCGTTCAGTGAGAGTCTTCTTGGTATGACTGGCGTGGAATTGCCTGATAGCGTGGTCGACAGTCATATCTGCGAAGATCCGGACGTTAATGCTCGACGATGGAATAATCTACTCTCTGTCTATCTACAAAGATCTCAGGTCTCTGCAAGATGACTCCAGAGAGCGAGGTTGCTCGCTCAGCGAAAGGACATCCTCTTGCCGGGTCTAAATACTTCTACACACGTCCGTCTGCCTTACCCTAACTAATTGGTCTGTTTATGTATAGTCCGATCTCGGAACGGCGTGCGGGAAGAAGTGTCGCTGTTTGGTGGCGACGGTGCTTGGTACTGAGGATTCTGATATTTGAATTGGATGGGATGAGTCCGCCTGTTTAATGATGATGCACTAGGCGTGGCGTTGGTAGGGGAGGAGTCGGGTTGTAATGGTTTCTGTTGGAGTCTTGGTCGCATTAATCTTGTGAGCTACTGTTCTGTTCCTTCAGATATTCAATGGAGCAGTGTCTAAACTATCCACATGTAAATTGGAATCAGTCTTGAAGTGACTGTGCTGCACGAGACTCTGAAAGCTGTTCTCTCGAATGACAGTATGTGCTACCTTGTATCACAGCACCGGCAAGAGCAGCAGGGTTCATTTCATATCTGCGGCGGATCTAGATCTCCCCCTGGCTAATCATTGGATATCGGCAATATCCTAGCAAGCTATTCGTCATGGATCATATACCCCGGGATAGAATTAGAGCCTCATTTTTACTTCGCTGTCCAATCATTCGCTGGTTATAAAGTGGTGTAGAAGATACGACACGTATTCTCCTGCTAACCTACCTTGGTATACACCCTAGCTGGTTCGAAAGCTCCCAGTCACGAAGGAGAAAATAATTATCATCATGGTAGGTTGTACGACTGATCCGGCTGATCCTAGAGTCTAGTTGTACCACCTGGTAGCGATCACGTCTATCAAAGACTGGTGCAGTGCGTAGGGTGTAGTGTAGTGTAGTAGATTGTTGGGATTGATATTGCTCTATAGGTATTCCCTCTTTATGATCGCTGTGGCTTAATACCCACCGATGATAGGTATACTTGGGAAGGATATGACGTATCGTCCATGTCAAAGCATCGAGCTCTCTAGCTCTAGCTGGCTGGTCATTGAAAACAGTAACCAATAAAAACCTCAACAATAAGCTCATTGATCGATAAAATGACGCGGGGCGCGTACACCTTATCTCTAGTATGCATACAGAGGTCAGCTGGACAGACCATCTACTCTGCGCATGAATCCATAAGGGTCTGAACGCTCGGGCTGGGATCAGGCGGATGACTGCAGCGTTGGGGCTGAGTGGCTTTTTCCCTTTTTCCTTACGAGATATCTTGTTTAACTTTAAATTACTGGATTGTTGAATTTGACATGATTTGTAAGGTAGCGCAGTTGTTTGTTGATATTAGTTACTAGATTCTGTCGGCTCCCAGTAGATGGGCCTTTTGTTTCAGAATCCTTTGAATCCTTTGTTGGTAGTCTCATGATGGATTTCTAGTCAACTAGGCCTTTGATGAATTTATCCCATCCCATCTGACATGAATGTTGAAAGCTGACGGTCATCCCGTTGTTCACGTGATTTATACAACCCTCTTTATAGGTGAAGCATCAGTGTCAAAATAGTTGACTCAGAAAAGAGGTTGCTATGCGAAGGATTCGAACGAGGCTTTTTAGGTTGCCGCGGTGGTCCCGGTGGGGACCAAAGCAAGGGAGCTAGTAAGCTGCCTGGAACCCGGTGCCTCGTGGTACTCACCGTGTCAGACAGGGAGGGCGACAAATATGCCGATCGGGACCTGAACCAGAAGGTGGTGAGCTATGGGCAGTTACACTATGTCGGATGTCGTTAGAGAGAATAAGGAGCCGAGCGACTAAATCAGGTAGAGTTAATAAGGTATTTAATAAGAACAAAGGAATAGATCGATGACGCGATTTTGATCTCGATGGTGTTAGAGTGGGGAAAGCGGAAGAAGGTTCTGACAGGATTGCTGGTCCTTCCGTCTTGGTCAGCGGTCGATTGATCCCTGCGCGGTGGCTGTTTTTTGAGGTGGGCTGATTGGAGGGGGGGGATGGGCTTGTCGGGTTTGTCCGTCTCTAATGATACGATATGGAGTAGTCTGTAGTCTACGGTGTGGTGTATTGTTTGAACACAAGAGTCGAAAGACTCAAAACCCGAAAGTAAGTCGAGCTAAGCCTTGTCAACCATGCGGGTTGATTATACATGTCACAATTAACATGACCATGACGACAGTCTACACAAGAATGTCATTCATGTCATTTCTAACTCAATGACATTGAAATATGTCAAACAGGGTGTGTTCCTGCATTCCAACTTCAAGTTCCATATAAAAAAAGCCAGAGGAATCAGGAGAGAATAAGAAAATGACGATATCCGAAAGCAGATCCACACGTGGATCGGTCAGCTTTCACCATCAGCCTGAGCGATGGCGTGTTCTTCTGCACTTCCCATTGGTCCCTGCTGGGCGGAGTCGACCAACATCCTGGTCTTTGGGCTTCTGATTGGTCAGGATGTGGTCTTGGCATCAATTCCACTCCAACCGTCCAGCACGAGATCAGATACATTCCTCAACTACATACTACCCTCACCAGCATTCTTGATAGAATTGAGACATTGAGACACCAAGAAAGTAAGCAGTAAGTACCATTCTAAATGACTCCAGGTCATCCTGCACAGGTCTCGTATCATCTCAACCATCTCACCCCCCGACGGAGAGCGGCCACCATGGCTCCACCATTCAGCGTCATCACTCGCTTCCAGACCCTCGTCCGAACCCACCTAAACGGTCCTCCGGGCCCCAGAATGGTGGACAAGCTCTCTCTGGTCCTTGGGAATTAATCTTTTTCCTTCCAGCGGGATTGTTCCCTGTATTGTTTTATTTTTATTTCTCACACCCGGCGGAGGTGTGAGTGGATCATCTGCCCCATCGCCGTACGTGGTTTGCGCCTTTTCCTTCCCTTGCTGGGTTTGATACTCGGATCTGATTTGATTCTCTCTCTCTCTTTTTTTTTTTTTTTTCAATTCTGGCCTTGATTATTTTTAATTGCCTTCTTTTTGTCTATCGCCCCCATGGTTTCGAATCCATTATCCATCATGGATGGCAGGCAAGGTATCATGGTGGAGGGATTGTGCGTGTCGTTTTGGCGTATCTGTCATTTCCTATAATATTCTCGACCCCCAGGGCCCTCCAAACTGAGTATTCTCACTCCATGTTGATCCTTTCTCTTTTGCTTTTTCCCTCACTATCTACCCATCACCCCCGTCCGTGGTTGCGGAGCTCGTCGTGCTGCCCCTCGATCAGCAACCTTGGTTGCCATATCCTACAATTCTATCGACTCGCGGCGTGCTCCACAGAAAAAATAAACCCGCCTCTCACAGTCTGGGCAAAATAGTACTTCTTTAAACATCTGGGCGATCACTCCTGGGTCCTGCTTGGTTTCCATTTCTCGCTGTCTCTGCGCTTAATTTAAATTCGGGAAGACTGCTCCATCCATTGTTCGAACGGGCCAGACGTCAGCCGGTTCGCATTTCCTTCTGTCTCATATATCGCCGCCCTGCCAGACCGGATCCTCCTGGCTTTCTTCCATTCCCCTCTTCTCGTGTTCCTTTAGCTTTGCTTTTTTGGCGGCTCACCTCTCGCGCCAAATATCCCTTGATTGTCGACTTTGCTGTGCCAGTCGGTTGCCTCGTGGCAGACTAGGGATTCGCACTCTTACCTTCGGATCACGACATCGCCTTTTAGCCCCGGCTTCTCATAAAAGCACCCCCTTCTCCTTTTTTGATACCTATTCCCAACTCTCAGGTCGCAATGGATTCTGCTTGAATATTCTTGAGTTCGCATTGAATCCGACTTCTCGAAATTGAGGGAGTGTTTTTGCTGCCGTCTCCATTTTTGAGGCGTCCTGCTATTCCACTAGACCGTCCCGGTCGAATTGAACGCAACCCTTCGCAACTTCTCTCTTTCATCCGCGCGACATCGAATCGTTGGCAGAATCATAAAAAAAAAAAACATGGCCGACGATCTTCCTACCAAAGTTGGCCACGGGCTGGCCAAGGGGCTGGGAATCAAAATCCCGTATCGGGACCCTCTGGGAGCCCATGCAGACCCCGTCACTCGCGGAGAGTCGACTTTCTCCTGCGGCACCCTCGACACATATGCCTACGTTGAATCGGAACCCACGAGCGCCGAGTGGCTGCGGGAGCTTTGCCCGTCCGGGAACCAGGTCTTCAGTTATCTCTACAGCCTGTTCCCTTTTCTGTCTTGGATCACGCGATACAACACGCAATGGCTCTTTGGAGATATGGTGGCCGGTGCGTATAGTGCGCTCTCTTTTCATAGTTGGAGTACTGACGAACCCTTCCAGGTATCACGGTAGGCGCCGTTGTCGTTCCGCAGGGCATGGCCTATGCAAAACTGGCTGAGTTGCCTGTGGAATTCGGCCTGTATTCATCGTTTATGGGCGTTTTGATCTACTGGTTCTTCGCGACGTCGAAGGACATCACCATTGGTGTAAGCTTCCCTCTTTCTACAAACATGCTTTTGGATCCTGACTGACCTCCCCAGCCCGTCGCCGTCATGTCCACTCTGGTCGGCACGGTAGTCGTGGATGCTAAGGAGAAGATCCCAGACGTGCCATCGCACGTCGTCGCATCGGCCATGGCCGTCATCTGCGGCGGTATCGTCTGCTTCATGGGTCTGATCCGCATCGGCTTCATCGTCGATTTCATCCCCCTGCCGGCGATCTCCGCTTTCATGACCGGCTCGGCGCTGAACATCTGCTCCGGTCAGGTCAAGGACCTGCTGGGTGAGCAGGCCGACTTCTCGACGCGCGGCGCCACCTACCAGGTCATCATCGACACGCTCAAGTACCTCCCCAGCGCCGGCATCGATGCGGCCATGGGCGTCTCGGCGTTGGCCATGCTGTACATCATCCGCGCGGGTTGCAACTTCGGCGCGCGCAAGCATCCCTCCCGGGCCAAGATCTTCTTCTTCCTCTCCACGCTGCGCACCGTGTTCGTCATCCTCTTCTACACCATGATCAGCGCGGCGGTGAATCTGCACCGCCGCGACGACCCGCTCTTCCAGACCCTCGGCGACGTGCCCCGTGGCTTCCAGCACGCGGCGGTGCCAGTGGTCAACGCCCGGATCATCAAGGCGTTCGCCAACCAGCTGCCCGCGTCGGTCATCGTGCTGCTGATCGAGCACATCGCCATCTCCAAGTCCTTCGGCCGCGTCAACAACTACACCATCGACCCGTCCCAGGAGCTGGTCGCCATCGGCGTGTCCAACCTGCTGGGCCCCTTCCTGGGCGGCTACCCAGCCACGGGCTCCTTCTCGCGTACAGCCATCAAGTCCAAGGCCGGCGTGCGGACCCCGCTCGCCGGCGTCATCACGGCCGTCGTCGTCCTGCTCGCCATCTACGCGCTGCCCGCCGTCTTCTTTTACATCCCCAAGGCATCACTCTCGGGCGTCATCATCCACGCAGTCGGCGACCTGATCACCCCGCCCAACACCGTCTATCAGTTCTGGCGCGTCTCCCCGCTCGACTGCCTCATCTTCTTCATCGGCGTGTTCGTCACCGTGTTCACCTCCATCGAAATCGGCATCTACTGCACCGTCTGCATCGCCGCCACCGTCCTCCTCTTCCGCCTCGCCAAAGCCCGCGGCCAGTTCCTCGGCCGCGTGACCGTCCACTCCGTCATCGGCGACCACCTCCTCCAAGAAGACGGCAAATACGGCTCCGGCAAAGGCGACACCCAGCAAGAAGGCGACACCCAGCGCACCATCTACCTCCCCATCGACCACACCGACGGCTCCAACCCGGAAGTCGGCATCGAGCAGCCCTACCCGGGCATCTTCATCTACCGCTTCTCCGAAGGCTTCAACTACCCCAACGCAAACCACTACACAGACTACCTCGTCGACACCATCTTCCGCAACACGCGACGCACCAACCCCTTCTCCTACGGCAAGATTGGCGACCGCCCCTGGAACAACCCGGGCCCCCGCCGCGGCAAGTCCGAAGAAGACCGGTCGCACTTCCCGACCCTCCGCGCCCTCATCCTCGACTTCTCCTCCGTCAACAACGTCGACGTCACCTCCGTCCAGAACCTCATCGACGTCCGCAACCAGCTCGACCTGTACACCTCGCCCCAGACCGTCCAGTGGCACTTCGCCCACGTCAACAACCGCTGGACCAAGCGCGCCCTGGCCGCCGCCGGCTTCGGCTACCCCACCCCGGCCTCCAACGACGGCTTCCACAGGTGGAAGCCCATCTTCAGCGTCACCGAGATCGAGGGCACCACGTCGGCGGCCGCCCACGCCGAGCTGGTCAACAACGAGCAGGCGCACCGCGCGCAGGCCCGCACGGACGTCGAAGACGGGCTGCCTCACGACGAGGACGCCAAGTCTGCCGCGCTGGAAAGCCACAACGTCGAGGAATCGTCCTCCTCCACCGACCACAGCCTGCAAGACGACAAACTCCACCGCGACCTCAACTCCAGCCAGGCTTACCGCGACCGCCGCAAGGTGGCCATCCTTCAGGGCATCAACCGGCCGTTCTTCCACATTGATTTGACCAGTGCGTTGCAGAGCGCGCTGGCCAATGCGCCGGGCGACGCTGTTATTGAGGCGCCGACCACGCCGCAGTAATTGTCATGCTATATCCATGTCCTATATGGATCAGATGTTTGTTTCTCCCTGGTTGGAGTTTTGATTTATTTATCTTTACATGTCATGTTATGAGCGTTCTTTTCTTTGTTATGGATTCGATTCGATTGGGTTGATTGGATTGATTAGTTGCTATACCCCTGGCTTCTGGCTTGTATGTACATAGATATATGATTGTGGCTATAGTATTTAGGTGTATGTATGGCATTCATGATATACCTCCTAGCCTTTCAAAAATAAAATAAAATAACAACACAACCACCACAACCCAATAACCCTCCCAAACCACTCTCACCCCCTTTTTTCAAAACCTATAGATTCCAACAAAGTCAAAGTAGAAAATATGTGAAAAAAAGAACTACCTCAAAACCCCCCCAACACCCGCCCACCCCAACACAAATCCCGAAAGCGCCTCGCCCAGCACACCCCCCCCAAACCACACATCGCGCCACGCTCCCTTCCTAGTCACCACCCCGGCCTTACCACCACCACGGATAACACCCCTCTCGTCCAACCCCTCAATCTCGCCCCCATTCGGCCCGGGGAAGAACCCGCCCGCACCAGCAGGCGAGCCACTAACGAGGATGAAGTGGAAGCAGGCGGAGACGAAGACCGTGCCGAGGAGGTAGAAGATGAAGCCGGTGGCTGATTGGAGGGCGAGGATCCCGGCTGTGAGGCCGAGGAGGAAGGAGGTTAGGGAGTGGAGGGTTGAGAGGGTCTATACTCATTTTTATGATTTAGTATTTATTTTATTGATGTTGTTGGTGAATATTGGGATGGTGTATATGGGAAAAGTGGTATTCTTTTGTAGGAAGAAGAAGGAAAAAGGACAAGGATGGGGGAGAAAAAGGGAATGGAAGACATACCCGGTTGTTGTGCTGCACTGATTCCGGCACGAGGGGGTTGATGAGGAGGGAGAGTTCTTGTTTTGTGGGGGGCATTTTTTCTTTCTTTGTTTTGCCTGAGTTCTCCTCTTCTTGTTGTTGTTCTTTTGATTGATTGTGGTTTGTTTCGCTGGTTCTGTTGAGGTTGAGGGAGGGATTTGACTGAGGATGAGGATGAGGGTGGTGTGCGTTCTTGGTGTGCTCCTTGTAGAGTTGGATAGCTGTCGCTGGGTAGATATACTGGTTGTTGTCTAAATGGTGGTATGTGTGCGATTGTCGAGGATGTGTTTGTGAGGTCTGTGGAGGTGGGGGTGTGGAGGAGGTAGTGGTGGTGGTTGAGACAGTGCCGCCGGAGGTTGAGATAGACTTGAGGTGCAGTGGTGCAGTTCCGCCAGAGCTACCACACCAATCACAGCCGTCCATCTACGCCGTCTATCTACCTACGCATCAACTTCACATCTACTGGAGTCCATATGCCGATACCTACATAATTACAACCATCTAAATACACCAGTAAATATAGTAAATACTATGTATTAATATACCATACTCAAGAACATCCAGCTTCAGCAGTCATAACCTTTCCTTTTCGGACCAACCTGGGACACAACCGGGTCTCCCAAACCAGCCAAATACAAATCAAGTCACATCCATCACATCACATCACATCGATCATGGGAAAATAAATACAAAACATGGGGCCTTCACTTGGCAATGAAAAAGAAAAAAAGTAAAAAAAAAAGATGAAAAAAGAGGGGGGAAATGATATGCTCCCGTGGGAAGACAAGTCTTCCTCAATATCTGAAGGGAGATCGCTCATGATGGTTCGGTTCCTGCCACGTATGCCAATCTCCATCTAATCAATCAATCAATCAAATTAATGCAGTCGAGAGAAGGTGAGAATCGAAATGAAAATAAAAAAGAAAATCAAATGAATAAAAATGAGAATGGTGTGATGCATCACGAGATCCCTTCCAGCTTGCCGTCGGCGCGTGCCTCTCGGACTTGCTCAAAGACCTACTTTCGTTAGCATTGATACATCTTTATGATAGGCATCGTGTATGGAAGCAAATAACGTACCTTCAGCATCTTGTTCCGCGCCCCCAAGGCGTTAACTCCACGCTCCTCCAGCGCCTTGTCGCTCAGCTCAACCAGCTCCGTCCACTGCAAATCCTTCAGATGGTCCGTGTACTTATGCAGACGCAGCGAGCGCAGCCAGCTGGGAATGTCCTTGAGCAGAGCCGGATCCGTCGGGTCCTCAGGTGGCTTCGAGCTGCCCCGACGACCGCGCGGCGACCGGCCCCGCGTCACCTCCGAGTGGTCCGAGAGATACCCCTCGTGGCCGCCCAGTCCGAACTGCCCCATCCCCAGGGGCCCCAGCCCGTTGCCCATCAGCGGGTTGTTGGGGTCGTACGCGGCGAGGAAGCCGTTGTTCTGCGGCGAGGTGAATCCCATCCCGCCGAAGCCACCGGCGCCCTGCAGGGCGATCCCGGGCGACGTGGGTCGCGAACGACGGCCCCCGATGGCCGCCTGCTGCTGCGCCTGCAGCGCGGCCAGCTGCTGGGCGTTCAACAGCTGTCCCGCCATGAGGTGGTTGGGTCCCGGAAGCCCAGGGCTCAGCGGCCCCTGCGATACGTTCTGACCCGCGTTGGCGTTGGACTGGTTGGCCCCCTGGCCGTCGTTGGAGCGAGCCCGGCGGTACTTGCGCGCGTCGTCGAGGGCAATCCGGTTGTTCACGGTCGACAAGGCCGCCAGTTTCATCGCGGTGGCGTTCGCCACCATGTCGGCCTGCGTGTTCTGCTGCGACGACTGATGCTGCTGCTGCTGCTGCTGCTGTCCAAAGGTCGCCGTCATCGGGGTGTTGGTCATGGAAGCCCAGCTGGCATTCCCAACGTTGTACGGCGACAGCAGGGGCGCCTCGATCTCGGGCGCGGTGATGCTCGTGGTCTGTGTCGGCAGCGGCGACCGCAGGCCGGACGGCGCCTGGCTGAACTGTCCCATGGGCTGGTGGCCGGACGAAGACTTAGGGCGGGCGATGGGCGGCTGCGGCTCACCGGCGCCGCGTTGGGCCCACGGGGACATCGGGGGCTGGCCGAGCGTGTCCGCGCTGCTGTCCGGAGCAGAGATGGTGGGGGCCACGAAGGAGGTCCGGTCCCCGAAGACGGCGCTGTTGCGGTTGGAGGGCGGCGCGTTGCCCGTCTGCTGGGTGAACTCGGCCTTCTTCTTGGCGATGGCCGCGGCGGCGTCGGGGAACATGGCATTGATGGTCGACGTGTCCAGACCGGAGTTGCGCTTGGCACCGGGCGACGGCGGGGGGCGGCCGAGGGAACTCCGCGAACTGTCCACGTTCAGCTTGGACATGGCGTCGTTCAGGCGGTTGGACATGGCATCTGTCAGGAGACGGGCAGGGTTAGCATGCAACCGAAGAAACGCGTCGTGCCGCCCGCGACCGCCCGCCCACGTACCTTTTTCCCCAAAATTGGCCGGCGACAGCAGACCCGACATCGGGTGGCTCTTGGCCATTTGCTGCAGCACCTGAATGAAGAAACGAATCTGGACCTGGGTGGTCTGTTGCAGGAGTGCGTAGAGCGCCGCGGTGCGTTCCGCCTCACTGAGCACGCGGAACCACTGCTCGATGGCGCTTAGTTCATCCTTGAAGTCCTGGTCCAGCGTCGCAGCGGCCATCTCCTCCAGAGTGGTCTCATACTGATCGATGTCGGCCAGCCACTGCTGCGCCGCCCGGTCCAAGGGATCCTCCGCGGGATTGGGGGTTTGAGCCTGGTGGTTGAAGTAAACCTCGGACGAGGGACGGATGCTCCGCGAGGAGAGAGGCGAGGGGAAACCCGACATATCGGCCGATGCTCGAAGCGGATGCGAACCAAGAGCACGAGCAGACGAGGGCGGACGGAGGGAGGATTTGGAAGCGTCGGGCGTGCTGTTCCGATTGCCAATAATGTTACTGGCCATGAGTCGAGAGATCCGAGATGAAATCGGACACGATTTTTGCGTTTTATTTTTTTTTTTTTTGAATCTTTTAGTTTTCTTTTATTCTTTTCCTTTCTCTTCGATTATATTTTTTTTCCCGGATTGATCCTGGTGGTTGATTGACAACGCTCCGATGAACGATAGACAGGCAAATGTGAAAATTACTGCAAAGCACCGGCAGCACCTGCTGAGTTTGCGTAGGAACGAGATAAAAATCCTGATCAAATGAAGGACCGAGGCTAACCAAAGCGACTAGACCCGACCGTTGGAAAGACAAAAGGATCTCTCTAAAGATGGAGATACTTTTTCGACGAGGGAAGGTGGTCGGAAAAAAAATTAAGAGAAAAAAAACCCAACCGCAGTGGCACTGGGCAAAGACGATCGGGGGGGGGGGGGGGGAGGGGGTACAGACCAGTCCAGTGGCTGCACTACCAGATTCAAATTCTAGAAGACGAATCGAATCGCAAGATCATCAAGGGAATTTTTTTTTGTCGTCGACAGAAGAGGAGAGAGAGAGGGGGGAGGAGAGGGACGGAGGGAGAGAGAGAGAGATGAGGAAAGGTGGGTTCGTTCGAGTTTGATGTTTGGTGGGCAAAGCGGAGAGACGAACGGGTATATTAGGAAATGTGGGTTCACCGGTGGTATTTTTTTTTCAACCACTCTTTTCCCTTTTTTTTTTTCTTTTTTTTTTTTTTTAGTTGAATCAAATCGAGTGAAATAAAACGAGAGGATGCCGAGTCAACCACAATAGTGTGTCAAACACAACGAGTAGAGTCTCTCAGCATGGGGAGAAGTAATGGGGAGAGAAAGGAAAAGGAGAAGAAGATGAAGAGAAGAAAGAGAATAATGAAGAAGAATAATGAATGTTAATAATCATGGATAATCCAACGCTGTCCTCCTCAGGCATCCAGATCACTGGACTCACCTCGATACCTCAGGTACCAATCCTTCCCTTCTTCTCTTCTCCTCGACGGTAAACATCTCCTTATTTTGAAGATCGGATTCAACATTGTCAAGTTGATGAATTTCCTCGATCCCTTCTGTGATATCTCCTGTTAGATCCATCGATCAACTGCACCTGCACGGCGCCGTGTTTCTTGCGAGTCGTGCGCCATTGGCTCCCACGGCATGTGGGTTGGCCTTGACTGGTCTAGTAGGTTTTAAGTAATTAAGTAGATCTTCCTTCATCTTTCTTTTTTTCCTTCTTTTATTTTCTTCCTTGTCCGTGTTGATTATTCTATTATTTTACTTGGTTCTTTTCATCCACCTGATACCCTTCTGGTTAGTCCGGCCAATGTGCCAAGACCTGCGAGTTCGATCTGCTTGACTTAACCGAATCGGTCTCAATTGAACTGACCCATTACTTCATCTAGCCCTTCGGGTCCAAAAAACACTACACACCTCAATAGACAGTCATTGGTGCGGATTTCTTTTTGGGAATTTTATAGTTTCGATTCGGTTTGCTCTAATGCTCCGGGTGGCTTGTAGTGACCACAGCGGGTCCCTTCTCATGAATCGGCAAGCGTCGCCTCTACACATCATATGACCCTGGTAGATAGCACTTCGCAACATGGAGTATTCAGAAGGGGACCTGTCGGACCACAATCTCCACTCGGAGGATGTTCCTTATCCCGATATTGACGAATCGTTCCATTACCCGTGGCAAGGACATCAGCCGGCGACTACAACGGCGGACATCCACTCCGTCCTGGACCCTCGTCTGTACAAAGACCTGTTTACAGATAGCGCACCCAAGGCCCAGGATGATAACTATCAGGACTATCAGGGCATGGACTCAGGGGACGACTCGTATGAGGTTTCCGTGGACGAAAGCTCGGGGTCAGTTTCCAGTGTGTAAACGCCTCTCGAGGATAAAATTGCTGACCAAGTCGCAGCGACGACGAGTACTCTCAGGTCGCCGAAGAAGAAGATGAGGACGAAGAGGAAGATGCCCGTCGCCGCCGCCGGCGTAGAGGGACAGGCCCCTTCTCGGGTCGGTTTGGCGCCCGTGGAGGCAAAGGGATCAAGCGAGGACCGCGCAAACCGCTGGAACCCAGCCCCGAATTCAAAATCCTGCACTCCGAGGCGACCTCGGCCTTCATTGATGGTGACTATGACCGGGCGGTCGATCTGGTCAAGCGAGCCATCCAGATCAACCCCGAGATGTTCGCCGCCCATTCGCTCCTCTCCGAGATCTTTCTCGCGCGGGGGGAGAAGGACAAGGCGTTGACAGCCCTGTTCAGCGGGGCCCACACCCGCCCCAAAGATCCCTCGGTGTGGGCCAAAGTGGCGCGGATGATCAAGGAACGGGCGGGCGAGGACCGGACGGCGGCGTTGGCCGATGTCATCTACTGCTACAGCCGTGTCGTCGACATCGACCCGAAGAACTACAATGCGCGGTTTCAACGAGCGGCCTGCTACCGGGAACTAGGACACAACGGACGCGCGGCTACCGAGTACGAGCGAATCTTGAAGGAAGACACGCACAGCCCCCGAGCTCTTCGTCACCTCGCGGAAATCTATATTGACCTCGGTGATGTCCGGAAAGCCGTCGATTATTGGGCGGACAGCGTGGATTACTACCTATCCCTGGACCCGGAAGAAGCCCCAGACTTTTCGTGGTCAGAAATCAACATCTATGTCGAACTGTACAGCTACCTGCATCAGTACGACAAAGGACTGCGGGCCCTGAAGTCACTGGCTCGATGGCTTCTAGGCCGACGAGACGACACCATGTGGGAGGATTTCAACGAGGATGACCGTGAGTGGGACGCTGACGACGTCCCGCGTCGTATCAAGGCGGATGGCTACATACCAGGCCAGTGGCCGCGCGATTCCTACGGGCTGGGTCTTCCCTTGGAGCTCCGGATCAAACTGGGTCTATGTCGGCTGAGAATGGGCTACGAGCACAAGAATGAGGCCCTGGTAAGTGACCCAAAAGGTAGCCCACTCTCGTTCCTATATTCTAACAACAGCAGCACCATTTTGCATGGCTGAATCCTGAAGACACCTCCGAACACTCCCGCCTTTTTGATTACCCGGATCTCTTCCGCGAAGTTGCCGACGCTCTCCGGGAGGTCGGCCTCTTTGAAGATGCCCTCCGTTTCTACACTCCCATCCAGAATACCGACGAGCATGCGGATGTCGGTTACTTCTTGGCCATGGGCGACTGCCTCCGCATCTTGGAACGTCTGGAAGAAGCAGAGAGCTGCTTCCTGACCGTTGCCGAGCATGATCCGCGAAACATCGAATCGCGCGTGCAGCTCGCCAAGCTGTACGAGGACATCGGCATGACTGAACAGGCTCTGAAGTTCGTCAACGAGGCGGTTCTACTGGGACGACAGGAGACGAGAAGTGGCCGGCGGCGGAAAGACACCCGGCTCGAGCAACTCGCCTTGGAGTTCCGGTTGGCGGACACGGGTCCGGACGAGGCAACCCTGCGGCCGCTCGCGCCCAAACCCGGGGCCGATTCCGCATTCACCACCGCCCCTGTCAAGAAGGACGAACTCAGCGAGGAGGACAGGACGGAGAATGTTCAGTTCCTGTATTCGAAACTCAACCAGCTGTATCCCCAAGTCCACGAGGGTCAGTCCGAAGCTACCGAAGACTGGCTGGACATTGCCGATGCTCTGCTGCGCGAGTTTCGGGCCAACCGGGTTTTTTACCCCGTGCAGCGCAATGTGGTATTCATGGGTTATTCCCGCGAGGCGCAAAAGAAGGCTGGGAAGCACAAGGGGCAGAGTCTGCTGGATGAAATGCAGGAGATGGCTGGCCGTCTGCAGGAGTCTTTAGGTAAGGGGATCGATCGTTCATTCGCGACTGTAACGCCATGCTAATTGCGTCAGGCACTCTGGCGGAGGCGCCCCTCCAGGATGCCATCCCAACCGACTATCACGGGATCACGTTCGAAGCGTGGCTCGATCTGTTCCTCCAGTATGCGCTGGTCGAGGCTGGACAAGGCGAGCCGCACGAGGCGTATGATAACCTGGCAGCGGCGGCCGATGCCAGTGTCTGGTACCATTCCAAGTCCAGCACCCGGCTGATCCACGTGTGCTGGTTCAGTAAGTCGTCATCTGTATTGGGCGTGATAGGGTACGATAGCTAACGCAAACAGCATGTGCACTGCGTGCACAGGATGAGGAAACTCTGGCCAACGAGGCACGGTGGTTCATCAAGGAGTATCAATTCGTGACGGACACCTACCGCCTGTTCTCCATGCTGAGTCGCCTCAGCGGCGATCCTCACCGGTCCCTGTTCCACTCCTCCGCGAACATGAAGTTCATGCTACGTCAGATCAAGGCCATGGACTTCACGATGTCGGATGGGCCAACGGCAGCGCAACCGAAGCCGAAGATCCGCCCGTCCGTTCCGCAGGATCGCCCGGCCCCGTCCACACGGGAGGACGTCGGGGAATTCATCCCCGGGGAGTCGATGGACATTGCTTTGCTGGTACTCTACGGTCACATCCTCTACTCCGGCAACAGCTTCTTTCCCGCGCTGAACTATTTCTTCCGGGCCTATGCACTGGACGATCAGAACCCGGTGGTTCTCTTGTCGATTGGACTTTGCTACATCCACCAGTCGCTGAAGCGGCAAGCCGAGAATCGACACTACCTGATCATGCAGGGGCTGTCGTTCATGCACGAGTATCGACGGGTGCGGGAGCAAGCAGGCAGTCTGATCCAGGAACGACAGGAGATGGAATTCAATTTCGCGCGTGTGTGGCACCTCCTGAGCATCACCCATCTCGCTGCGGAGCGGTACGAGCGTGTGCTCGAGCTGGGCGCGGAGATTCAGGCCCAGGGTGTGGCACATAAGGGGACGACGGACGGGGATGATACGGTGATGAGGGAAGCTGGGGAGGAAGAAAGCCGAGTCGCCGAGGACTTCTCGCGGGAAGCGGCATATGCGCTGCAGAATATCTACGCCTTGAATGGGGATATGCAATCTGCGCAAGAGATCACGGCCCAGTGGTTGGTGATTTAGTAGTATATCAGTGTCATGTATAATTTCTCGTGTACTTCAAAATTATTGATCGAGGGGCAATTTCGCACCCAAAAGAAGAAGATATGCTCCCGAGAACTCAAAGATAGTACGAATATATAACAGGGATGTACAGGTTTCTATCTAGTAATCGACTCGGCATTGCCGGCGGTAGCCGTCGGGAAGGACTGCCTTGTTGGGACCTGCGGGGAAGAACAACACGATCTCCCCTCATTTATATAATCCGCTTTCTCTCCCCTCGTTTCCCCTCCTCTTTTTACCTTCTGTCCCTCACTTCCTCTCCACCATGGAAACCAACACCACCACCCTTGCGGATTACCTCTTCACCCGCCTGCGCCAGTTAGGCGTCGATTCCATCTTCGGCTTGCCGGGCGATTACAATCTCAACCTCCTGGACTATGTCGAGCCCGCCAAGCTGCACTGGATCGGAAACTGCAACGAGCTGAACGCCGGATATGCTGCCGATGGATATGCCCGGATAAAAGGTACGTTTGGAGGATATAGGATAGTTTGAGATGTTTCTGACATGAGTAGGACTCGGAGCGCTGGTCACCACCTTCGGTGTGGGAGAACTCTCCGCGATCAACGCGATCGCCGGTGCCTACGCCGAACGAGCCCCCGTCGTCCACGTCGTCGGCACCCCCGTCCGCGACTCGCAGGACTCGCGCGCCCTCATCCACCACACCTTCAACGATGGCGAGTACCAGCGCTTCGACCGCATGTACGAGCACGTCACCGTCGCGCAGACCATGATCTCGGACCTCCGCTCCGCCCCCGCCGAGATCGACCGCGTGCTGCTGCAGTGTCTGGTGCACAGTCGGCCCGTGCGCATCGCCATCCCCGACGACATGGTCGCCCTGCGCGTGCCGACGCGAAGCCTCGACACCAAGATCAGTATCCCGCTGCCGGCGCGGCAGCCCAAGGTCGAGGAGGAGGCGCTCGCCGTCATCCTCGACCGCATCTACAATGCCAAGCGCCCGATGATCCTGGTCGACGGCGAATCGCGACAGTCGCGGACCCTCGACGAGGTCGAGCACCTGGTCCGGTCGACCGAGTGGCCGACCTTCACGACGGGCTTCGGCAAGAGTCTCATCGACGAGTCCTTGCCCAACGTCTACGGCGTCTTCACCCCGGCACACAAGCCGTTCGTCGAGTCCTGCGACCTGGTCCTTCACTTCGGCCCGCACCACAGCAACACAAACACCTACATCTTCCAGACCATCCCTCCAGCAGCTACAACAGTCGCCTTCACGGCGACGACCGTTCAAATCGACAAGCAAATCTTCCGGGACCTCCCCGCGAAGCTCTTCCTCCCCCAACTCATCGCCCAGCTCGACAGCGCCAAAATCCCCCCCCACAAGCCCGACCTTCCGCACCCGACAACCACCTTCGCCGCGCCCTCCGGCCTCCCCGCAACCGAAAAAGTAAACAACGCCAGCTTCTGGAAAAAGCTCAACCCCTTCTTCCGCGAAGGCGACATCATCCTCGCCGAAACCGGCACCGCCGGCTACGGCGCCAACGAGTTCGTCCTGCCCCCGCGCACCCGCCTCTTCAAACCCGTCACCTGGCTCTCCATCGGCTACATGCTGCCCGCCGCGTTGGGCGCGAGCCTCGCCCAACGCGATCGCGCCTCGCACGGCGCCAAACCGGGACGAACAGTCCTCCTCATCGGCGACGGCAGCTTCCAACTCACAGCGCAAGAACTCGCAACCATAATCCACCACAAGCTCGACGTCGTCGTCTTCCTGATCAACAACGCGGGCTACACCATCGAGCGATGTATCCACGGCCACGACGCGCGGTACAACGACATCACCCCCTGGCGGTATCTCAAGGCGCTGGAGCTATTCGGGGCTCCGACCGAGGGGGAGTACGCGGCGCACGCGTGGACGGTGCGCACATGGGCGGACCTTGAGGGGATGTTGGCTGATGAGCGGATGGCGAAGGGGAAGGGCGTGCGGATGGTGGAGGTTTGCATGGAGATGTTGGATGCGCCGAGGGTGTTGTTGAATTTGTTGGAGAAGCAGTTTCCGGAGAAGAATGAGGCGTGATTCTTTTTTTTGGTATACACTCCCTTTTCTTTTCTTTTTCTTTTCTTTTTTTTTTTCACTTTGATGGATATTATGTGGCTTGAATGTTATTACAAGATTAGATTGGGTACATATAGTCATATGGCCCGCAAGAGCGTGCATTTACCCCTTTGGCCTACAGTGATATTCAAAATGAGAAATGATTGCAGGTCTACGATTCCATCATATACACAACAGGAATTTTATCACCCATAATCTACTATCCACGACACACACACACACACCTAGTCTTATGTGACACGCCCCACCCTACCTAGCATTTATCACCTCCCTTCACAGTTCACCCCCAGCTACCACTTCCTGAGTTGTAGTACTCACTCCTCTCTCCGAGCAAGCCCTATAAATGCATAAACTACAGTTAAAAAACCTCCTTTCCATCCGCCACGCAGACCGGGGCGAAGGTTTCCCAAACTATACCGGTTCTCATTGGTACTTGTGAGGCTAGATGTGGAAGGTAATGAGCTTTGATCATGATGGGGTTACCTGATGGTTGAGTTCGATGTAGATATCTATCAGCTTTATCTGTGAGTGATATCTCCTGCGCTCACAAGGCGAGTTTGATTGGGACTACAACTACAGACTGTGATGTGGGGTTTGATATATTTAGCAAGCTGTACTGATAGATACATATCTGCACGTTCAAATAAAATCCTTCATAAGACCGTCTTCACTGTACGATGAACAGTCACGATTGGTCGTAAGTAGATCCTGAATGATAAGTATCAACTGGCCTAGCTTGAATTTATGACAACGTTAATCACACAAACCCTATTCAGTGATCTAGTAGAGGTAGAAGACGATCTGTAATATCAATATAGTGACTATTTATACATAGTTCCCTTGCGGAATATCTCACATTAACCTGGTAAGGCTATAGTCACCACTAAAATATCTGTTCATACTACAGCAGTATGCACTGCTCATTGATGGATTGTCAGCCTCTGGTGCAGGAACCAGTGCTCTGTTACAAGGCAGGTATAGCGAGGAAGTTAGCTATGCTGGTACTTCAACTTTTACGTGTCATGACGGTGATCGTAACTCAAGTGACTACTTGGACGATGTGGGACCGGTAAGTATCAAAGCTGTAGAGATATCTCGTGTTGAGTATAGAGTCGACAGCTGGTAAGTAGTGAGGTCTCTATGATACAAGTCTGTTCACGTGGGTTTATGATGCTTTCATCTCCACCTGTTGCACTGATATATATTCTGTTTCGCCTGGAATTATTGGCTAGAATGCTTTGAGAAATATAACGGTCTTTCAAACACAATTGTGGTCTGCTTTTTTATATCTTTTTATCTAAGATAGTAAGATATCATAGCTGCTACGCGAAAACATCGTCCAACTTTTGTACAGGGCGTAACCTGACTGATAGTTATCCCCACCACATATAAGCTCTTATTTAGTAGCTAACGCCATTCAGTAGAGAAACCGAGTGATCATAGAACGTCAGAGTCTCATACTCGAGAGGATCCCAGTTTCTTACTTGAGATCAAAATGACCTCTTGTAAGTTGTGCTAGTGTGTGGACTTGCTATATTCGACCAATACCTACCCCGTACATCTACATCGAGTCAGCGTCTATGCGCACTGATATCATCAATATATTATATTGTATCATACCAGACCATATCATATCAAACAATAGATTATACCTATAGTATATGGGTGGTATACTTATGCTATGACGCACAATATGCACCATGACGTGCGAGGGGTGGTCAGATGCGCGGCAGGGATCCATCCACCACCACCACCACCACCACCGACTAACCCAATACATACCCCCATACTTCGGAGTACATGGTGATATATTTAGAAGTGTGGAGGTAAATAAGTAGGCTGCTTATTTTGCATGCGTGCATGGGCCGCGTGTGTTACTGTGCCATGTTAGGCCTTCCGTGCCGGGTTGGGTTGGTTTGGGCTTGTGGGATTATTTTTCGTATGTGTGGGGTACTCTGCTGCTGGTGGATTGGTGGATTGATCGGCTGGTTGTTATCTGCTTGCTTGCTTGCTTGCTGTATGTATGCATGTATATACGTATGTGGATATGTAAGTGTGTATGGGTAATACTAGCGGTTTGGTAGTCGAGTTAGACTTCGTGCAGGGTTATGGTTCAGATACTACCGAGAAGGTGTATATACAGTTTAAATAGCGCTAAGTAAGGGGTGATTATGGAAAGCTTCTTTCTCGTATCCAAATAAACTTCTGTAGCCAGACTAATCCTCACCCGTCAAATCCGTATCATCAAAAAACACCGCCGACTGCCTCTGCATCTCCTGCAGGAAACTCCCCCGTCGCGGCCTCTCCATCTCCAGCGAAGAATCCGTATCCCCGTCCGTAAACGGCCCATGGAATCCACCCGGCACGTCCCCATCGGCCACGACCGACTGCGGCGGCGCGCCAGGACGCGGGCGGTAGCGCAGCGAGGGCCGCACCTCGCCCGGCGGAGCGAATTGATCGAGCCCGCGCGCGATAGCCGTCTCGATGTGCAGGCGGTTCTTGATGAACTGGATTTTGGGGAATGCGCTGAGCTGGCCCATGCGGAGCATGCGGCGGAGGCGCTCCGGGTCTGGGTCCGACAGGATGTGGATGAAGTCCGAGAAGACCGTCTTGGGCCAGATGGTGATGGTGCCGCTGAATTTTTGGAGCCAGATTTCGCTCCAGTCTTGGCCCATGGGTCGCGGGAGGAGCTCGAGGTGGCGTAGTACGCGCAGCCACTTGTTCAAGTCCAGCTTTATGTACTGCTCTATTGCGGAGCCTAGGAACCCGCCGCGCCAGCCGCGGCCTTTGCGGTGGGTTACCGGGCGGCCGACTGTGCCTCGCGAGTTGAAGAAGAAAAGGTTGATGTGTGGATTTACCTGGGTGTGTGAGTGTAGTTCCTTGTTGGTGGTATATTTTGAGAAGTAGAAAGAAAAAAAAAAGAGATAACTTACTTGCGAAACAATGGTAAAGTTGACGTTGAAATGAAGGTTCAATGCCTTGATGGGAATATCAGTCCGCAGACTCCCGTCCTTCCACTTGTGTCCGAACGAATACGGCGCCAGTGTCCCGTCACGCTTCTTGGTCATCAGAACGACAGGGTTCAAGATGCCCGGGACGGCAGCAGAGGCGAGCACAGCACTCCAGATGACGCAATTAGGTGATGTCAGATAATTTGCCAAGATCGTCGGCGAATGGGGATCGGACGGCACACATGACACGTTCAGGATGCGCCCGGTCCGTTCGTAAGCCTCCTTGAAAGTAGTCGAGCCTCTGCAGAACCAACTGCACTGGCGAGCCCAGTCATTCGTGTCGAACCGGGCTCCCGTCCGGCACCAACGCATGAACCACGTCGAGAAGCTATCATCGCACGCCCTGATACGGTGCGCTAGTGCAGGGACAAGCAGCTGTTTCAGCTCCTCGTCCGTTCGAGTGGCAACCAGACCCGCGACGAGTGCTCCCCCGGATGTTCCCGTGATGATCTGAGGCAGCACACCGTTATCCAGCAGGGCCCGGACGACGCCGAAATGGTAGTAAGCAAAGGTAGCCCCGCCAGACAAGCACAGAGCGGTCCGGCCGAAGTTGGTATCCAGATGCTTGAAATGGTGGTATTTATCGTCATTGTCGATCTGCTTGTCGCCCGACACCAGCTCAATACACGTCTTCACTTCGTCCATGTACTCCTGCACCAGGTCCTTGGTCCCCGAGTATGCTTCGCTGTACAATCTGGGGTTTTCCACCCCTGCAAAGTTGTTCTTGACGCAGGCCTCGAGCAGTGTGCAGAGCTCTTCTACCGCTGGAGGATCGCTCACACCCCGATGTCCGTTCCGGATGTCCTCCTCCACCTGAGCCCTCACCTCCTTCAACTGCCCGACAAGCTTCTCAATGGTGGCATGATCATAGTATGCATATTCATCCGTCTCTTTCCACTTCTGATTCCCTAGGTGGTCGTCCAGCGCCCGGGCGGCCTTTAGCCAATCGCGGTAATTTGTCTGCTGATAAAGTTGTTTCCGAAGGCTTTGCCGCTTGCCCCTCCACGAGACCCAGTGCTCATAGAACATGATATAGAAGCGGGTCAGGGCGTAGAGCACGCTCAGGACGGCGATCCACCCCAGCACAATGAGGAGAAACGGCCATTTGAGAACATTGTAAAGCACCCCTTCCCTCGTCTCATCCGTGCTGCGTCGGGGCTTCTTCTTGCGGCTACGATTCCTCCGGACACGCTGGTAGACTGGACGCCAGTCATTGAGGGCGACTAAGGGATCGGCGTCCTGGTCTAACAACGCCTTCTGGAACTGCCGTAGATCGTCGGGATCGATGAATTCGTTATCATAGTCAGGCAGGGCGCTGGCATCGGTAACGTTGAGAAAGGCAGAATCTTCTTCTGCAGTCATTTTTGTATATCATACATGACTATCGAGAAAACAAGAGAGTGTGATGGGATGCGGTTGATTGTTGCGTTGAAAACCGGATGGAGCAATCCAGGCACGATGACAGATCATATGACGGCGAAGTGTCGACGTCACCGCTGCACCGCCTCATGGCAGTACAGCCACAACAGGGCTTGAAAGCGGACAACATGTGGCTGGTGTGGAACAAGGCTTGGCAGTCGGACAGGGTATCCCAGTCCAACGTCGATGGTAAGTTCATGTTATCCCCACGCTTCATGGACGGTCCGGACCAAGAACCATGGGTCCAACCCCATGCAGGGAACTTATAGACAGGGGTTTAATTTTGTTGGCCCAGCCGAAACGGTCAGGATGATAAGAGACAGAACATATTTGCCCCTTCCGTCTCATTCTCTTCATCCCTTCTTGTTTCAACCTGAGGTTTTGAATCACCTTTTCCAGGAAATGCCGTGTCTCGAATTCTTGGCACGTTCTTGTCTCTGCACCTTCCCTTGATATGTTCGATACGGTTGATACGGTTAATACGGTTGATACGTCTGATACGGTTGATATATCCGACACATCTGGTATACCTGATGACCTCGTACTCATGATACACCCGGTACATTCAACGCCTGACACCCACCTCCGGAAAGGATCAATTCGAGGATAGAGACCAACAAGCTGACGTCTGAGAAAGGCGTGGCGACCTCCACTATGAATGGCTCAGCTGAATGGCCCGTGTTCAGGACAGATCGACATTGCAGAGGAAGAAGGTTGCCAATCCTTGCCACGGAGGGTCCATGATCATCGCCGATGAAGGAGGAGGGGTACAAATTACATAATTACGCCGCGTCTCCAGGTCACTCCCCACTGACAAGGTATCCCGGCTTCATCGTAGGAATGGTATGGTCAGCACTACAATTAGATGCCGCTGTCTCCCACCAGCCGGAACGGAGTCCGTTTATGCCCGTCGAGCGCTGTGGCAGTCCGAATCTCAACCATGTCACTCATCTCAATCTTGTCTTACTTTGACGGGTGGCATGCGGGCCGTGATTGGATGGACTTGGTGGCATCCACGCCTCTGATAGCGTCAAGCATTGCGGGGTAAGTTCTCAATAAAAAAATAAATAAAAAAAAAACAAAAAGGAGGGAAACGGTGGGGAAAAAGCACAGCGTCAATTTCAAACGAGGATGAACACTACTTCTACTTTCATACACTTTGCTTGGCGGGACGCAGCGGGAACCCAATCATTGCAAAGAATGACGAGCATCATCGACGACTCCGAGATGACCAACGGTATACGATAGTCCTCGTTGGTCGCTTGGTGCGGCCAGAGAGGCGAATGATTTGCATCCATTGAGGACGACGCTGCTGGGGATTGGAGTCCTCTTGCCACAAAAATATCTCCCTAGTAACTAACTAGTCTCCACCGCCGGTGAGCGATGGATTTAGGACCTGCACTGAACACAGTATTTTCCGTATTCGGGGTCCACCACCAACAGCACAGCCAAGGTTGGTGGGGGCGCTACTGATGGATTTACCATTTAGGCTCTTCGGTTGCATGTCGCCCGAGTCCCTGAACACGACTGGGAGTGTATGGACTTGAATAGGGGTTGTGCTTTGGTAGATATTTACTTTTTTGGCTCATGCACATCAAAGGACAAAGCTGAGACGATCTCGGTGCATACATACGTACTTCCTTCATACATTAGGTCGTATGTAGTTGCAAACTTCCATCCCAAGCTTTATGTATACGAATACACCGGGAGAGAGGAAGTCTCTTTGAACCCATATTGCGTCAAACAATATAAGTCAACCAAGATTACGACATTTAACGTTTCGCGCGATACCCGCTAGTCCACCTATCTTTCCCCAGACTCCCAAAAGATCAACCACCAACCTTGTGAGAAACTAGAAAAGACAAAGTAGATGAAAGAAAAAAAAGATAGGCGGGAAGGATTCCCAAAAAGAGCCGCTCGCATCAGTAAACGAAACAACCACGCCCTCCAAAAGGCAAAAAAGGTTGTGCACTCTGATCTCCTGTGGGGAATTGCACCATGTTGAAACGCTGGTGGTCTTTCTTTAATTTGCTTTCCTGGTCTTTACCTTGATTGTATTCTATTTTCGAATCCCTCCTGGTCAATGGTCATCAACTAGCAGCGATCGGGCCTGTCGGGGGTTTTTATTCGACCCGCGGTCGGACTTTAGCAATTCCTCTTTCTAGTTTGTACCTACTGTAGTAGCGCATCTCCATAGAGAAGACTAGTACGACGACGGGAGGAGGTACATAACTTCCATAGTACTAAGTTACTTGGTACAGAACGGAAAGGTTAAAACGAACAAATGGTCGCCGGGGGGACTGTGATTGGGGGATAGTTGGCGCTGATCACTCGGCCGGTTTGACTGGAGTGGAGACCAGACCTGCACAGTCCACCTTTTTCTCGAGTCGTTCGATGATATCCACCTCGGTTGTATCTAGTATCTACTCTATGTACATAGCTACTACATCGTGACTCTAGATAAGTATACAACTTGGGGCACGCTACACTATTCTTCAACCTCATTGATCCATCAATCCATTCATCATTGATTTAGTTCTGACTAGCTGCACAACTTCACAGTTGATCGTGCTGCATGGGGTAATCTCCACTGTTCTATCCGATCACATCGTGGTCGTTATCTACTTATCATTTGCTATTCCCTGTTCTCTCGTGGCGTATCCAGCGGGTATACTATAAATTCTCATTCTAGTAGGCTCGTTCTATCTATAGCGGTTGCACAAACTAATCTACGTACGGAGTATACTTGTGGCACTCCATACAAACATACAGAACACCGAATACAGACGTACATACGTCTATACGTACGTGCATAGATACATACAGTGGAGAAAAAAATAATCCAAAACAACCACACAAGTACCATGCATACTCCAACTCCATATGGAGGGGAGTTAATAATAGTGATGCACCCTATATTATGTACGATGCATACGGATCCATCCATCTATCCATCCAACAGGTCGGTCCTATATCGGAATGGAACCTCCGCGCCAAGATCCCGTCCTTCCCCCCCCCACATCTAAACCAAACCAATTCAAACCATCACCGGACGAAAGTTTGTGAGACATGATTAGGTGCTTCTCTTCCAGGGATCATCAACGTTGTGTTTTGTTTCGTCTACACTCCTCCCTCGCATGGTGGTAGAACTAACTATTGTCCTTTGTACATACTGCGTCTGCATCGTGCAGGTGAATATGCCGCCTGCAGGTGGACTCAATTTTCATTTCTTTCCTTCTTTATCTTCGTTTTTATTTATTTATTTTCCCCTCCCAACCTGCCCGTGAAGATATGAAGACTTGACACCCCTAGCGTCGTAGGGGCGCCCTCATTGGTAGGGTGTTTATCTAGCGTACCATGTTTTGGAACAGACGGGAATTCTCCAGGAGTTGAGGGTTTCAACTGGGGGGGAAGTTATGTTGTGATGCGACGTTGTTTGGTGGAGGCGTGGTTTGTTTACATGTGTTGGTATTTACTGTTTGGTAGGTATTTTCTGGATGTAATCTGGGAGGTAAGGAAGGTGTATGTGATATCAAAGATATTAGTCCAAGACAAGACAATATAATTTGTGTACGATATGATACCTTAGTGAGTACCTAGGTATAGACTCTGCGAATAATATCCACGGCCGGGGGATATGCTGCTGTATACACAAAGTGAGTGGCTGCGATTTCGGCATTGCCAGAACGTGGGCGGGAACATGAGCATGAGCATGAGCGAAGGAGGGGCAGGGAACCATGGGTTGAGTAATGACGGGAACATTTAGTTAATCAATCAATCAATCAATCAATCAATCAATTGAAGAGGGGCAGGTAGAGAGGGGAACATGATTGATGTGGTGTGATGGAGGAGAATTGGAAAAAAAAAGGGAGCGGTGTGACTTCAGACCAGCGGCCATCCCGCTGTCGTGATTTGTCAAGAGCCTTTTCCGATAACTGATTCGAGTGTTTAATCTTCCTACCGCGAACTGTATTTCTAAATTCTCCATCAGATGAGATCATGTAGGTATCTTCCTACCTATTTAATATACTTGTCTAGGACGTCATCGACGAATACATAGATGGACTGATGACACGATGTTTCTCAGCCGCGACGGATATGGAGGTCATTTGATATACCATTTTGGTGCTCGCACCGAGTAGCTGAGATACCTACCGAGGAACTTATTGGACAACTGGCCTTACCACAAACAGGTGCCATGCTCCGCTTGATCCCCCGAGGGATTTGGTCAGGTCAGTGCGGATGACTCTGATGTTAGACTCATTCGTCATTATATCACTTTATCATTTTTATCAGTTCACTATCTCAATCAATCCTCAAGTCACGGTACCTGTCTAAATCGAAAGTCCCATGCCTCGTGGCTCGGTTAGATCCTTGACCGTCAAGGCGGTTTTTTTTTTTTTCTTTTCCAGTACTTTCCTCCTAGTAATTGCGGGCACTGAAGAACCTCAACGAGGATACGTCCTAGAGCCTCTCGAGTCAAGCGCACTGCAGATGACCCAGATCAGGCCGTGATTCGTCCAATGCGCGTGGACAATCTCGACATTCATAGTCCGCCAGGGCGCTATCAGCTGCACGGTAGGCGGACCCACCGCCAATCATGCTGCGTAATGACAGTAGGCCGGTGGGTCGCCAAACAGGGAAGTAAACGGTGGCATCCAATCCTGCCTGCCCCTCCCCATCTTGAAAAGTTTTTCCTCCATCTTGATCGTCCACAAGGGCTGTATAGCCTGTGGCTGTACTCGAAGGATACGGTCAATCATTCATACTAGCGTCTTAGCGAATCAGAGATCACAGGCGCGGGTTATCCTTCTGGTATCTTCTGCTGAACACATAATTTGGAGTCATCCTGTCTTCTACCAGATGGCTGGATAGGACGGTGCGACCAATTGTTCCTCATTGTTGTCTTTGCTCGCTTTGATTGCTGGAATCACTTTAGCTGGTGGTATAATCCAGCCGTGCCATCAGCCCATGGTGATTCATGGTCGGCAGATCGCGGTACCCACTACTCTCGAGGTACTCGGGAAGACGGCGAGCTGCTCCACTATTCT